CCGCGCCCCGGCGGTGGAGGATGGGCGCGGGAGTCCCCGCGGGTCCCGCGTGGGAGAGCGGAGACCAGCCTTCCCTGATGGTCGGACTACAACCCCCATAAAGTGGGGGCAGGGGGTGATGGTGGGTGCAGTCCGGCCCTCCCGGAGGAGGAAAGGCTGGCCTGAACCGGCCTCCTCCTCCCGGGACTTCCATCACGGCGAGGCTGGGCTGGCTGGGGAAGATGGGAGTTGAAGTCCATGGGAGGCCATGTGCTAGGGAAGGCTGTCGTATGATGGTTCCAGGAGAAGTAGATTCTGAGTCAAGGGTGCTCAGTGTTCTCTTTGCTAAAAAATAATTGTATTTGCCTGTTTGGGGGGCTTTGCTTAGATGCTGCAACTTAAGACCCTTAAGGCGTCCCCCCCTTCAGTAATTACCACTTTCTTTCTTGAGGTGCACCAACTGGTACCCCCCCCCCCCCATTAAATCAGATTTACCTTCCCTGATTTAGGATTTAAATCTTTGCTATCACAGGTTTCTCTCCACCCTTCGCTTGCGCTTCCTTCTGCAGAAACTGAACCATTTAGGGCTGTTATCCCGGGGTTGCTCTGCTCTGAAACGCCTTATCTGTAGTTTGGGGTCCTTTCGCTTCCCCAGTGATTGATCTGGGCTGGTTTGGGCCACGGCATCCTAGATGGGCTTTCCAGAGAGCAAATCCAACATAGCCTATGGCTTCCATGCAGTCAGTTGCCTGGGGACATGCTCGTCCCAGTGAAACTTCCCTGGCTCTGTCTTGGTGCTCCTGGGCATAATCTGATTTGGCATCTTGCACCGGAGGATGGTGCTCTTGTATCTTCTCCGTCGCTGATCTCCCTGTGACCTTTCCCCAGTTTCAGAATCGGGCCTCAGAAATCTGTTGAAGCTCCCACCAGAATTGCATGCATCTTGAAGTTTTGTGGCACATGTTTTGTTTTCTTTGGGAGAGAAGAGGCTCTTTCAGTTGTTAGGCTGAAATTTCCTTTTCTTGGATCTGCTTTTGACATCCAGCCTCAGGTGGGATTGAGTGTCTGCTTAAATCACTCTTAAAAGAGCTGCATTTATCAGACTGTGTCAAATGCGTAGATCTGCTTATTCAAGATTTACACTGAATTAAATGGATGGTTCTGTCCTGAGGAATTTCCCCTTATGCCTCTTATTCTTGCTTAGCTAGTCATGGGGAAAACGATGCATCAGAGTGTCCTTTACGGAACAGGATTGGTAGCATCTTAATTAGAATAGGCTTTGTCTTTTTCTGAATCATCACGCACCTCCCAAAATTGATGGAGCTACAAGGAGTGCTTGAAGAAAAAGGCCCAGGAGCTGGGTTCAAAGCTTGGAAGCAGCTATGAAAAATGAGCAATAGCTTAAACCCTTGAGTACCATGTGTTTTGTCATAGAAATAGTCCTGCTTTTTCCCTGCTGAGATAAGGGAGAAATATTAAAAGTTCAGGATGGTCCAGGACAGATTTGGAGAATCACTGTGTGATGTAACGTTGCCAAGGGACGGAAAGTCATGAGGCTTTCAGTCCTTGCTCTAAAGTCAGAAGTCAGCCTTCCTTGCTTCGGTGGGGCAGGAAGGACCTCTTTTGAATTGACCCAGGAGATCTCCTTGATCAAGAGATCAGTGTGGCTGGGGGGGGTTAAGGTTTTCCTGCGGCAGCGGTGCCTGATGCAATAAGCTACTGTGTTTAAGGGGTGGATCCTTTTCCTTGTTATGCAGGACAAAGCTACGCTAAAATCTGCCACATCAGTGCTGCTGGGGCTGGGCAGGTTCCCTTGAAGAAGCGGTGCTGGCTGTCCCCCGCCCCCCGCTTCACCCCCAGTTGTCCTCTGTCTGTTGCTTGAAGGGAATCCTGGCATTTCTGGTCACTTCAGAGGGCACATGCTTTACCGCTGACTTTCCTGATATCCTTTCTATTTCACTTTCACTCTGAGTAAGAGCGCTGCAGATTTGCAGTGTTTATTCTTAGAATAGCAATGCTTGCCTTCATTTTTCCTTCAATCGACCCTGCCTGAATTTCCACTTTTTTTTAAAAAATCTTTCAGTTCCCTCCTCCCTGCCACGTTAGCCTGCAACTGCAGTTTTCTTTTTAAAATAGAGGCAGTTCTTAGAATTGCTATTGAGAACTGGCAGATTTCTCTCTTCCCCGTCTACACTGTTCAATCTGTGGACTGTCACATTTGGGGTTGCCCTCTTCTCATTCCTGTCTTGTAAAACAACTGGTTCCTTGCCCCATATGCAGTTCTACTTTTACCCATAGCTTTCAACCGGAATTTGATTTCTTCCATTCCTTCACTGTTTACGTATGAAGTTCTTGTGGAACAAGAACTGGGTAGTGCAGAAGAGATTTTTTACAAATGCAGTATGGCCACAGTTCTTTAAATAAGAGAAAAATCAGTTGATAGAAGATGGATGTTAAACTGTCCCAATAGGAGACAGTGAGGCTGGTCATTCTTTTAAACAGGAAGTTAATAATAAGCAACTTTTGCTAGCCTGTTCTGACCTAGAGGAGTTGGACTATTGACTGTGACTGATGGGAGTTGTAGTCCAACACATAGGATGCAGGTTTTTTATTGATTTAGATCACCCATATACGCTCTTTTCCTGGAGCACCAGTCCCGAAGAGAGCATTTTCCCAATTCTGCTTAGATACGTCACACACAAGTCACCCTGAATTTATCACAGATCTGCTGTGGATCCTATTCCGGTCAGTCACTCATGCCCTGGTCATCTCTCAGTTAGACTGTTGCAATGTGCTCTACATGGGGCTACCCTTGAAGAGTGCCTGGAAGCTACAGCTGGTTCAAAATGCAGCCGCGTAGACAATCTTGGGTGCCCCAAGGATGGCACAAATAACACCTTTACTGCAGGAGCTGCATTGGGTGCCAATTTACTTCCGGGTCCAATTCAAGTTGTTGGGTATCACCTTTAAAGCCCTACATGGCATGGGTCCAGGTTACCTGAGGGACTGTCTCACCTCCATCACACCGACCCATCCCACCCGGTCAGGCAGAGAGGGCATATCACGGACCCTGTCAGTGAGAGAATGTCAGCTGGCGGAGCCCAGGAGGAGAGCCCTTTGGAATATTCTCCCCACAGAGATGTGGTGGGCCCCCACCCTCCCGCCTTTCTGGAAAGGACTAAAGACCTGGCTCTGCCAGCTTGTGTGGGGCAGTAAGAGCTCTAATCAATCCTGGGTGTGGCTGGCGCCCTGATGACACTCCCTGAGCTACTTGCCAGTTCCATCAATTCTTGGAATTTATTATTTATTTACCCGGAAGCAAATTGGCACCCAATGCAGCTCCTGCAGTAAAGGTGTTATTTGTGCCATCCTTGGGGCACCCAAGATTGTCTGCGCGGCTGCATTTTGAACCAGCTGTAGCTTCCAGGCACTCTTCAAGGGTAGCCCCATGTAGAGCACATTGCAACAGTCTAACTGAGAGATGGCCAGGGCATGAGTGACTGCTTTATATTGTATTTTAATTGATTTTATCTTTTCTGTAAACCACCCAGAGTTGCTTTTTTAGCAAGATGGGCAGTGACAAATTTGATAAATAAATAAATGCCCAGCAATAAAAGGTGGATCATCTGTGCATCCTGCACAGATGCCTTGAATTGAATCTGAAAGTTTTCGTACACGCAGAGTGTGGGTTCCTGTGCTGAAATATGGGCCCAGATGTTTTTGTAGTAGAAGGGGAGAATCTCTGTTTCTTCCACCCAATATCTGCAAGAGGAATCATGATGCTTACAGCTGCTCTGTGAGTGTTCTGAAGTACAAGGCAAGATCTGGTTTTTGGTTTGGTGAATGAAGTTGCCTTCATGATTTGCTCTTTGCTGTATTTCACATCTTTCAGGAAGTTAAAAATGAGCGCTTCCTTTTTTCCTCAGGCAGTTTCCCCCCTACCCCAAGTTTATAGGATTGTTCTGTGTTTCAGCAGAGGCCAGACAGCCATCCGTCTCTTGAATCTGGATTTCTGTCCTTGATGGCCTCGGGAGCCGAACTCTAGGATTCTGTGGACCAGAATTCATCTCTGAATGGTTGATTTTTCTAGGGAGAACTCGTTCGAAAGTTGAAGGATGAGAAGGCTCCTCAGATGGATGTAGACAAGGCAGTAGCTGAACTCAAAGCTCGAAAGAGAATCTTAGAAGCGAAGGTGAGTCTTGGAATCAAACTTCCTCTCCCTGTTTTGTTTTGTCTTACCCCAGAGTAAATGGCTTACTTCTCCCATGAAATGTTAAATCAAAGTTTAGTCTCAGCGGGACAAAGTCCAGCAAGATTTCAGCTCCTACACTTCTCAGTTCCCCAGCACGGTCACAAAAAAGCACCGAGAAACTTTCATTTTGTATAAAAGACAGTTACGCTAAACTCCCATTCATTTTAATCATGGCGGTTACAAACGAGAGCTCCATCTTGGCTATACTGATAATTATGGGATAATTTTTCTCGGCTGCCGTATGTATTTATTTTGTGCTGTATTGTACTTGTTTTAATTGTTTTTATGATTTTTCGCCACCCAGAGTCACTTGGTTGAGATGGGCAGCTATAGAAATTAAAATAAATAATAAATAAAATAATAGATAATAAAATATTTTGGGTTGAGGTTGGCAAGATACTGCTAACTGTATATAAAAACTAATATCCATTTGTTCAGGGTAGCAGGCACAACAGCACAATGAGGTTAGTCCACAGCAGAAACAAACTTTTCTGAACTCCATCTGGCCCTTGTGGTGGTGACGTTACTGCTTAATCTCAACATTGTAATTTAGGATTGCAGCAGCCATTGCATATTGCTTTCTAACTTGGTCAGATATTCATATTTAATTTGGGAGTTGGTATTCTATCTGTATGGACTTGTTTGATCTTGGATTTACTCTCCTGTGCTGCTTTTCTGCAAAGACGAGGGGGGAGAATTCACTGCTCATTGAAATCTTCATTCAGGTACAGAGAGATTCCTAGCTGTGTATTATTGATCATCCAGTTTTAAAAGAACTCAGGTGCCTGATTTTCTGGGGTCCTGAAAAATGATATTGTAGTTAAGTTTGTTTTTTTAAACTGACCCACTCTTTGGCACCTTCGAGACAAAAAGAATCTGGTTATACATCCCACCCTCCCACCAATATATCAGCAGTGTTTTTAAAATTAGCTTGGTACCGATTAGCAAATCATGTAAGTGTCTGAGACAGTTAGTAGAAGAGAGATGAACTCTTGTCCCTTCTGCAACCACTGTGAAAACAACTAACTGAATCTTTGGAGAATCTCCACAGCCAGGATAGCAGTTCAGTGGGATGCCAGAGGAGAGATGAAATCAGTTACCTTGGAGAAGCATTGTAAGAATTCCTGGAATTTAGTAGTTCTTACAGATTTATTTTTAAGGCTGCTGTAGAGCAATTAAAGTTGGAAATGCATTGTCCTGTTGGGCTGAGAGGAACCCCAGTGTGGCTGATGGACAGGGACGGTCAGAGTTGTCTTCCAATGGCATCTGAAAGGCCACTGCTTTTCTGTCTTCAGTCCAGTCCATACAGCACAATGAATATCAAAGGGGTCCATTTAACAGATCTTTCCCCACAGCAAAGACCAAATTGGCTTAAAAGTCCCCATGCAGTAAAGTGTAAAGAGGGGACTTATGGAAGATCCCAGTAACAATTTCACGTGTGAGCAATGCCGTTCTTTTCCCACCAAGCACAATGCTGTGTGGAACACGAAGGAGCCCTAATGAGTAAGCAGGCATAAACTGAGGATGCGGTCCTTCAGATAACGTAGCCCTAAGCCAGTGTTTCTCAACCTCAATGACTTTAAGATGTGTGGACTTCAACTCCTAGAATTCCCCAGCCAGCATGGCTGGCTGGGGAATTCTA